AGATCAACATTTTCTCAATCTCTATGTAGACATGTTATTTGATCAAATTTGGTTGTGCAATGTGCGACTCAGTTTTAGTGGGTTTGAGAATTATAACTTGTGTAGTGTTTTTTATCTATATTTATTTCATTTGTTTTGGTTTTTGTCTCCTTTTACCGTAGATATGATCAAGATGATGAACCATCACAGCTAGATCTCGTGGGTGTGTTTGGTAGTATATGGTGGACACAATATTAGAGCCTCCTCTTGTAATAGCAAAACTTGTTGTCTTAATTATTGTTGTGGACCATCCACTGGAAAAATTGCGTTATTTGGTTCACATGATCGTTCAGCTATGCTTATTAGTTTCTGAATCCCTTTCTGAAACAGTTGAGCTTGGAAGGAAATGGGTACCATCTTTTAGGAAATTTAACATTTAAGATAGAGCTCTTGAATCCTATTTTTCCAGAAGATAGATTACTAGAAGGAGACGTATGCAACCTATTTTTCTCAAAGAGATGGCCAACGAAGGTCGTTTAGAGTTACCTTAATAGCTTTTACTTTTACTGGTGCTTTGGATATATTTTAAAAAGCTAAGAGCGATTATCATATTTTATTATGATTCATGTTGGCAGAGAATGAATTATTTTCAAAAATGATTAATATCTATAAAAATGGTTGGACAGTGTAGTATGCTACTCCCTGTCTTGGTAACAACCTTATAGACAATCCTAGGATGATTCAGGTACACTAATACACTCCTTTATAATTCCTTTTACTTCTTATATATGGACTAATTGTTGTAGGCTTGCAGTAGCAACGTAGCTTAGATGTTAAGTCTTCTTTGTAATTCTTTTGTTATATTCAGGGAGATTTCTTTGTTAAAAGTGTTTCAAGATTCGTTTGACTTGAACTGACTATCTCAGGTTTTATTTTCTTTTCATTTTCATGACTTTTATTGAATTTTCTGACGTAAAACTGATAAGAAAAATATGTCTACCAGGAAGATTTGCTTGGGAGTTGGTTCATTTCTGACATGATTTGTCATAATAAGGTCTTGATTTTGATTGAAATTCTTAACTAAAACTTGATTAGAGGTGTAACGAAGCTGTGTATTTCTCTTCCTTTATTTATATTCGGTTATGATCAATTTAGTTTATGCAACTTATAATAAGTTCATGTTTGCTACTTTATTGATCGATTGAATTGCATTATGTTGTTTGTTTTTGATACGATGCAATCTTAGAATCTCTCCAAGTTCTCAAGAAAGAGAGATGAACATGTCACGAAGGTTAGTATGACTTTAGCCAGTTGTAGCAAGTCAGTTAGTAAAAACAACACATGTTTCTTGCATAAGAAAGACATGAAATAGACAAAGTAATCGCAGTATCAGATCCAATGACAAAAACTTCTCGAAGATTGTTAAAAGCCAAAGACTGAGATGTAACCGCTTCATCAAGATCTTCACAACTAACCAAAGCTTATTTGAAATGAATACATTCTCGTTTGATACTAACGATGCACAAGAAAATCAACTGCATTCACGTTTTGTAGGAAGCTAAGTGATCCCCTGAATGTCGAACAACCCAACATATCTCATATATAGGGAAAACGGCCTATTCCCCCATAAACTAGGTTACTTTATCGTATTTATACACGAAACTTTTTCGTGTGCCTATAACTACATAAACTTGTATTAAATTTGAATTTCTTACACGAACAAAACAAATTCGGTCAAAACCCACAAATCTCTAAACGACGTTACTGTTCCGTTAAAAGAAAAATGATTAGGATGCCACGTGGATGTTTATAATACAAAACGACGTCGTATTATTTCAAAAAAATAAAAATATTTAAAACCTTACCAATCTAAGAATCGAACATTACCTCCTACACACAAATGCTTATTAAATACCAACTGTGCCAACTAATTTAATTGAATGATGACAATCAAATAATATGTATAACAACTTCAAGTGAGATGTCCAGGATCGGTCGAGTTGGGAATTTGTAACGTGATTCTTCTTCTTTGTATATGATTTGAAACGTGAATGATGTATACGATTTGAAACGTGATTCTTCTTCTTTGTTGAATTAGTCACCTTACATCACTTTTTCTCAGATCTGTTGATGAACTTATTATTTGGTTAAGATCTCTGAGATTTGATTCAACTGGATTGCGAAAAAAGAAACGTCAAAATTAAAACTGGAAATTTATTCAACTGGATTTTGGAAAAGGAAAATCAAAATTGGAAACGATGGTGGTGGGAAATGGAAATGAAGAAGAGATGACGAACTGTCGAAAAAAAAAAAAGAGATTAAGAAGTCGAAGAAAGAAAAGAGAGAAGAGATGAATTTCTCTTTTAGTTCTGACATCCCACTTGAAGTTGTTATATACATTATTTGCTCGTCATTGTTTAATTAAATGAGTTGGCACAGTTGGTAGTGAGTAACCATTATGTGTGAGAAGTAATGGGTTCGATTCTGAAAATGGTATGGTTTGAATTATTTTTACTCTTTTGAAATAATACGACGTCATTTTGTGTTATAAACATCCACGTGGCATCCTAATCATTTTTCTCGTAACGGAACAGTAACGTCGTTTAGAGATTTGTGGGTTTTGACCGAATTTGTTTTATTCGTGTAGAAAATTCAAATTTAATACAAGTTTATGTAATTATAGGCACGCGACAAAGTTTCGTGTATGAATGCGATAAAGTAACCTATTTTATGGGGGAATATGCCGTTTTCCCCTCATATATACAAAGGTTAGTATTATTCTATAATCTTTATAAACTAGAACATATGATTTAAAATAAACAAGAATATGTTCCTCCTTCATAATTAAGAGTAACCTAATAAATATGGAAAGGATTTGGCCTTATTGGTTATGGCTTCTGCAACTTGATTTGCTAATCCCCCATTGAAAGTAAAGGATGCATGCATTTTCCTTGTCACTTGAGGACGAATCTCTTGTGTAACGCTTCTCAATCTCGTCATATGATTGTAATATTTCTTGTTTAGCATTTTACATGTTTTTTATTTTGGGTTTTCTTTTATTGTAGATATGATCAAGATGGTGAACCATTAGAGCTAGCTCTCATGAGTAAAATTAACATATTCATATATCTTGCGCCAGCAGAATGACTGTAAGGAGTTTTAAGTATCAATTTCCATATGTCGTTAAAGCACAATGGTTGGAGAATGCATGATGTTAAAAATCTCTTTAATGGTAACAACCTTTAAAACCATCTTGTGATGATTCAGTTAAACTAATACACTCCCTCCTATTTCATTTTACGTAACTTCGATATCAAGGTACATTGAATTGCAAATCCGAAAGGGCCAGACAACTCTTCTCCATCTTTCTTGGCTAGCAAGAACGTAAAGGAATAGCTAAGTTTTGAGATGAGCTCTCATCTTCTTTATTAAGCAAAATAAAAACTGAAGTAAAATGACAGTGGTTCGATCATATATTTCCTCATGGCGATAAGATCAAACCTAAAAACAAGGAATATATGAACACCAAAAATTTTAAGCTCCTAATCTCTTCATAACTTAAATAACAATGAAAACAAAAAAAAAACAAACTATAAGTCAAATGGATAAAAAATGGGATTATTGCAGAATCTGCCACTTCGTGGGCCTAATATTTTACATCTGCTATTTTTGGGCAGGCCTTTTGGATTTGCCATTAATGAGCTATAAAAAAGACGAAGACGCCCTCCAACCATTAAGCGGGATCGAGACAGTTTAAAATATTTTTTTCCTTTTACAAGAGGTGGATCTGCTCATCGATATTATGTTTTCTACTATAACTAGGGTAGATTTTTTGTGCTTCACATTTCGTAGGGTTTTGCTATATAGTGGATTTAATAAAAGGTATTGTGTTGAGTAGCATAAGAAAGGAGTTGTCTTTTTGTGGATAAATCGAAAGAAAGAATTTTCGTGTGCCACATTCGTAAGGATGGTTCTCAAAAAGAAGAAATATGATTGTAAGCTAGCGACAAATTTAAAAAGGTACGAACACTATCTGCAGATAGGTTGTGTAGCTATGTTATGAGTTTTAAGTCCTCTATAAAAGTGGTTTTTGGGTTAGAAGCGTTAAGTTTGGTTTCTGTCTGTGCTATGTCGTCCTTCCTCTGCAATCTGCATCTTAAGACTGTGTTGTATATTGACCTTAGTAATTTACTTTGGTGTACTCATGTCTACGCTTATGTCTATACTTCTTAACATTTAGCCTAAGAGGCATTAAGCTCCGTTTCATTCTCTACTTTGTCGTCCTGCCTATCCTGGTTTTTAATGTGTTAGAATGCTTATCTGTATTGAATATTATATACTGCTAAATATATGGATATGTCTGTTCTGTGTAGGGATCTGAAATCCCAGTCGTTATTATTGCTGGGAGTTGGGAATGCTCAGATATGGGATATAGGATATTATTCTTGCAAAAGAATGTTGTGCACGTTGCATATCTATGTCTGCTGATAAGAGCTATGGACAATTGATATATATTGTGCGTGAAGAATTTGAGCTTGGTGGTATGAACTTGAAATCGAAATTAAGTTATTGGCTTCCTTGTCAAATGTCAGTGTTCTTTGTGAATAGACGACCTTCTGTAATTATGACAAGCAATATGAGTGTGAGGAATTGTCTTGCAGTTAAAGAAGAGATTGTTCATTTAAACTTGTTATTGTCTCTAGAACTGCAAAGTGCTGAGGATGTTGGTCAGGGTATAAGAAAACAATGTGGTACTGTTGAAAAAGGCCAAGATCCATCAGCTGTTCAAAACACACCTATGTTTGCAAGGATAAGGGTGCGTTAGGGAGGATCAGCAGAGCCACATACCAATGACGGCAATAGAATGGGTGGCCTGCCTTAGGAGAGAAATATTTCCTATCAATGATGTTAATTGTGAAGATGGGGCAATTAGAATGCTCTTTGTTCCATAGTCAACTCCTTCAAAAATAACTAAGAGAAATTATGGAAACGACGAGGCGTTGGATGATTGGAGTTGCACTAATACTAGTGGGATTATAAGTCTTGCTGATGCTGCTACACCCTCACTATCTCCCTCGCTGTCTCCCAAGTCAAGGGACAGCAGTGCACCAATTAATGTGATGTCTGAAGATTCTTTGTCTAATGAAGATGAATAAATTCTAAATCAAGTAGACGAAGTTGAGAAACATGAGAAAGAATGAGCTAATTGCAAGGGTACAAAGAAAATTTTGGAGAGTGAAGACGATCATGTGGGTACTCAGTGTGAAGATAGTTTCACTGATGGTGTTGTTAGCTCATGGTGAGATGAGGATGTTGGTAATCATGACTGGGATACCATATTTGACAAACAATATCCTCTTGAATTTTCAAACAGTTTCTTCGAGGTTGTAGATCCCTGAAAAGCCACAATGGCAGATGTATCTGAAGCGCCTGTTGGTGAAGAGGACATAGGTTCGGCTGTTCTAGCCTACGCTACAAGAGCAAGAGAACCTAATTTGTCTTTTGAGGACAACTTCCACCTGGTGGTTCAGATGTTCTTGACACCAACAATGGAAATAATCATCAGTTTGGGGTTGGTTGGGGCAGTGAAGGTGTAGTTGCTGCAACTGCAACTAAAGAAGCAACTGTTATTTCACCTATAGTAGGGGAGCCTATTGCAAGAAATCATCGTAATGTTGTGTTTGATGAGGACAACAAAGCTTGTGATGGTTCGCTAGTGCTAAACAAGTGCTTTGATGAAAGTAAAAAGATCCAGTGGGTGTGCGATAGAATTTGCAGAAGAAGATGCTATATATACTGGCCGTGTGTTTAAATATAAGATAGCTATGCAGAATACCTTAGCTATATATACCATAAGAGATTGTTCCACTTCAAGCTAGCCGATTCTTATACAAAGAGGTTGATCTGTGTTTGTGTTAATCATCATTGTCGATGGAGAGTATTTGGTCATGTAGTCTCTCCTTATTCAAGCAATTTTGAAATCAAAATAGCAAGACTAACCCACACTTGCTCAATAACGGCTAGGTCACAATATGAGAAACAAGCATCTACAAAACTGATAGCTGAAGTCTTGAAAGAAAAGTATTCAAACGGTTTACCTGGACCAAGAGCAATTTACATTCCGGATATTGTTCAGTCAGAACTTAAGGTTTCTATAACAATTTGATGCGAAGATCCGGTCAGGTAGCAAGACTGGGCAGAACGGAAAAATAAATTGTTGGTAGGGGCTGAGACACTAAAATGGGACAATGCAAAGAAAGCAATCAATGCATACGTATGGGGGGGAAACAACTAAGTGCATGATGCAACTAAACATGAAACAACATGGAACCCCCAAAATTGGAAATGCGAAACACTATGAAGCACAAACACAGGGAGCATAATCTATTTTGCAACCATAACAAGACAATTGCAGACAGATGGGAGCATAAATCAAATGAAGAGGGAAAGCACGAGTAATTGGGAAAGGTAGCTAAACCCTAAAGACACGGATGATAGGCAAACCAAGCATAAAACAACAACGACGGTAACCGGGAAAGGTAGCTTAACCGTAAAGACATGGATGATAGGCAACCCAAGCATAAAACAACATGGATGGCGTGAGACAACTAAAGCGTAAGAAAAAAATAAAATGAGTATACATAAGGAAGAAGGGGAGTCACCTAATAGAGATGGGGGAAAGAGAACTTAGTGCATCAGGTGAGTAAAACTTAAGAACAGGAAACGTCAGCAAAACTAAACTACATTCATGTGAAACACCATCAACTACATACACAGCTACCATGAATTCTTGGATGGAAGCAGACACCAAGTAGGGAAGAATATCACGCGTAATGCACAGGTAAGGACAGTAATAACATAAACAAAACTATAAAATAGGCAAAAAGGGTACGGCTGAACCTGGCCGAGAAACGGGTGAGCCGTCACTCCCAAGTGAATCCATTTGTGAAGAACAAAAGCTACAGAAAAGACGGAAAAATGAGCAGAACATATTTATCAACGAATCATTAAGCAATTACAGGAGCAAGAAACAAATTGAAAGCTATGTCATGGGCGAAAACCTATCGAAATGGAGACAACAGCAGCGATAAATGGGTATCAAAACCGACAGCAACCTGCAAACCTATCGAAATTGAGACAACACGAAGGGAACAATGGGTATCAGAACCTAAATCATGAAAAACCCAAGGAGGAGAATCTTGTAAATAAGACAGAGCCATTGTTGCTGACCCAAAATCAAATCGTGATGGTGGGAACCAAATTGCAACGAGGGTTTGTATTCTTTACCCCTGATTTCATCTACTGCATTACACCTCTCCTCCCAGAGTAATTGACATAAATTTAGAAGGAAAACGACATAAATCCAGAAGCTTCGTGTTGTTCCATCCACCGAGAGGGACGGCGGCTAAGAGCACCTTTACTGGTGACACACCTACAATTTCCCAAAAACCAATTAAATAATTATATTTTAATTATATATATATATATATATATATATATATATATTTTAATAAACGAACCAATAGATGATGGACAAGTGTTGAGCAACGTTTTCTAAATGGCTTAAGGAAGCAACGTTTTCTAAATGGCTTAAGGAAGCAACGTTCCTTTCTCTCTCTACTACTTTTTCATATTTATTATTATAGTAATAAAATGTAACTGTCTAAAATACTATACTGGAGATGGTATAGTAGTTTTTAGTTTTTTTTTTCTAAAAAAAAAATAACAAATAAAAAGCAAAGCGAGATGAAGGCTAATACTGTCTTTTCGAGTGGACATAAATGGCAAACCGACAATGGGATTGCTAAAGTCCTACATACAGCAAATGCCATCGCCAAAAGTCCTTCCTAGGTAATTAACTCAAAAGAAATTCATAAATGTTACCTATGTGATTACCATCTTTGGATGATGAATAGTGAATATGGTTTGCAATAAATTGACTGGTTTGTTGTAGCTCAATAATTGGTTAACCAACCCAGTAAAAGTATATGTTCTATAATCAAATTTGGTATTGATCTGGAAATCTTGCTAGTGGCAAGAATGAATTTTGTATGTTGTGAATAGTGATGTGGAACTCTTACTAATGAATTTTGTGTGTTATAGATGTGCATAGTGATGTGGACTATATGGTTGTTGTGTCAATTTTTGTGTGGTTGATGATTGTGGTTTAAAGTTACAGTTTGTGTCATCGTATTTATAAAGTGGGCAGAAAAGATTCACTCACTTAGTAGTTTATTACTCACCACTATTTCTTGTCCGTAGGCCAAGATGAGAATATCGAGTAGCTAGCCATGTATAGTAACAATATAAGTTATTTCACATTAAATAATAAGTGTAAAAAATATTTCTCATTGTATTTTTTTTTTGTAAGTAAATACACAAAAACCAGAAAAGGTAATATGCTTATAAGAATAAACTAGAGAGTATCCCATGCTGTAATTGGAAACTTATATGTAATGTTAATTTTAGTTACAAAAGAATTACTAGATTTCTATTTTATTTACTATTTACATTTTATAATCTTATATATTTACTATTTGACGAGAATATTAATATAGTTTCATTTGTGTTTTTATAACTGAAATACACAAAAATGATTAAATTTACAAAATCGCAAAAGTTTCTCAAAGTAAAAATAAAAAATTATATGAGAAAAAATATTATATATATATATATATATATAAGAAATTTCAAAGTGTAACCCACAAAACTAATAATAATAAAAATATATAATTGTGTTACATAAGAATAGAATGTACTATTCTCTATAACCAAAACTCATGAATAATTTTACGAAGCCTTTAAGAAAAGAAAAAAAACCATAGAATATTTGTTCATTTACCATATACTTAATTTTTTATTTTTTTTTGTTAACTAGAGTATTATTATTCTCAATTAAAAACGAAGTAAGATTATAGCAGCAAAGCCAAACTAGTCAAAAACACTAAAACAAACTTTGCAAGAAATTAAAGGAAAAAACTGAATCTCTCACTTAACCCTCGTCCTAGGAACCTTTATGATATACACTAGATAGCTAAATTCTATGCATAAATTAAGAAACTAGTCATGAGTACTATAGCACTCTCTCTCCTGTTATAATTACATTTGGGAAAAATGTCATAAAAATCCCGAACTTTCAAATTTGTGACGGTTTAAACCCGAACTTTAAAGAAGTCATTTTAATCACAAAGTTTTGTTGACTTTTCTGTAAAATAGCTAAGTTTTGTTGACTTAACCGATTTAAACACGACGTTTAGTTTCTCTTAAAATTGCAAAGATGGGGTTAACTATCCGTGAGTTGCTTCCGTTTCAAACCACAAAACGACGTCGTTTAACATACCGAAGAAACTAAATCCCAAAATCGATTCATAATTCACAAATCTAACTCCCTAACCATAGAAAAAGCCACAAAATTTCTTTACTTCTTGTTGAATTGTTGCCATAGCGCGGACCCATGGAGGAAGAAAACGACTTCCAACATCGTTTTATCGTCTAAGAAACATGGTCATTTAGGCTAAACAAAAACAGCTCACAGATAGTTAACCACATCTTCAAGTTTTTAACAAAAATTAAATGTCATGCTTAAATAAGTGAAATCAACAAAACTTAGCTATTTTATCGAAAAGTCAACAAAACTTTGTGATTAAAATTACTTTTTTAAAGTTCAGGATTAAATCGTTCCAAATTTGAAAGTTCGGGATTTTAATGACATTTTTCCCAATTACATTTATAGTCCAAGTTCTTATTTCCTTCTTCTTTCTCCTTTTTCTGTTTTCAATAGTTTCATACATGTCATTTTCTTTTATAACATGCTATTGCACTTAATTACACGTGATAACATGAGATACATCTCTTTACCACCTTACTTTATAATATTTCATGTTATTTATAAAGATTGCATGTGATTTATTCCAAAAATACATGTTATTCAGTTTATTTTTTTTGAACAAAAATGTGTGTTTTTTTTGAACAAACATATAACATGTGAATTTTATATGTTACACGCTATTTTTCAAATTCTCATGAAAACTATCTCATTTGTGTCTTCATCGCCGATTCTTTTTTTCTCTTTCTATCAAACTCCAAAACACAAAGAAGATAAGTTTTTCATTTCACTCCTTCTAAAATGTGGGTCCATGGCTATTTTCCAATTAAAAAAATTTCCATGGCTATTTACTTAATTTTTTTGTCTAAAATTTGGCTATTCTCTAACATTACCCTTCAATCTAATTAATAACTTATGTTCGGACTAACCGACCAAACATGTTTAACTTAAAAGATAATTGGAAAAGTAGACAGTTTTGGGAACTTTATTATGTTTTTAGATCAGTGACTATTTAAAATTAGGAGAAAGAGTGAGAGAAAATATATGTGAGTGACCGAGAAAAGTGTGTGAGTGAGAGAGAGTGTAAAAATTATATTATATATTTTATTTTTGTTTTTACCATACTTTTTTCCGTAGATCTTTAAAATTGATTTTACTAAAATTTTAGTATCCAAAAAATTATAATATTTTCAAATTAGTTTTTATTTTTTTTACAAACTAATGACAATAATTTTGTTATATTTTACAAATTTTTGTGAACATGAAATAGAGAATACGAACACAACATATAGAATATGAACACAAAATGAGGAGTACATACAAACTTAACAAAAGTAGAATATCTACCATAAAATAGGAACACTAGAAAAAGAGTACGAACATAACGAAGAGAGTATTCACTCTCATGTTACAAATATTTTGGGTTAAACAAACACGAATCAGAGAGTACGTACACAAATCAGGGTATACGAACACTTATAAAGAAATTCGAACACGCATCAAGGAGTACGAACACGAAAGTGGGTGTACAAATACATTGAGATATGACAAAATTTAATGTTATGAATTTGTAAAATATATTAAAATTGGTCTTTTTAGATTTACAAAAATATTTTACAGATTAATATCATATTATAATTCATTTTTTGGATGAACATATGTTACTAAATCAATTTCTGTAATTTGGATGAAAAAAAAGAAGAAAAAGTAAGATAGAGTGTGTGTGTAAATAATTGTAAAATATATATAGATATAACTTATATTAGTGGAGTAGTCACAACAATTTTTTACCAATTAGTAATAGTAAACTGTCTAAAAACCTAATATCTTAAAAAAAAACTGTCTATTTTGCCAATTCACCCTTAACTTAAATGTGTTTAGAAGAAGAAGAAAAGTGATAATGTAAAACACATCAAGAAAATAGAGAAATGTACATAAAAATAAAAATAAAAGAGGTAACAGTATCACACACTCCCAATTGCTTCTAATAATTGCCCGCACGCATTAATATACATATCTGTCTCTCTCTCCTCATGTGTCTGATGAGGAAGTCTCTCAGAAACAAAACACCACAAAGCGTGTCTGCTCACTTGACCAGCTTTTGTCTTCTTCCCACAGACATCTCCACTCTCCTTTGTCTTCTCTCCACAAGCCCTAATCACTATTGCCACACAATTCACAGCTTTTTCAAACTATATATTAATCCTAATATTACAAGCTAGTACTCTTATTCATTTACACTGCTAATAAACATGTCTTGTCAGCTTTTGATATTCTCTTAGCAGACAAAAACACAGTTGAGCTGTTGTCTCTCTATAAATACTCTGTTTTCAATTGATCCCTTTGAGATCTCTGCTCTCTCATGGCTTTTCCTCAGAAAAAACGAACACCTTCTTTCTCTTCCTCTATTCTTGATTCTATTTATCGTTCTATCGATGAATCAGACGGTCTTCAAAGTGACCTAAGAGGAGGAACCATCAATAGCAACAACGACGAAAATGTATCTTCATCATCATCAACATCATCACCATCACCAACCAAAAAAGATGATAAGCTCACAACTCTTCGAAGAGCAATCATGGATGAAGAACACTGGCTTTACCCCAGAAGTAGCACCACAACCACCAACACCTCTGATTCCTCTGCCTTTTCATCTTCTGAGGCAGAATCATATCGAACAAAACGAAGATCGAGTAAGTTTGTGGAGCAAGTAAATAAATCAGGTGATGATAAAAAGGTGAAAGCCGTGAAGATGCATGAGGAGCTAAAGAGATCAAAGCAGCCTTTGTCTCCTGGAGCTCGTCTTACTAGTTTCCTCAACTCGATCTTCCAATCAAACGCCAAGAAAGTGAAGCTTTGTTCTGTCGGTAAGACCACCGACGTGAAGTCTTCTTCTCCAAGATCTTGCTTCAGTCGAACAAAACATAAAACCAACAGCAACAACAACTGCTGCAAGAAGTTGGAAAGGTCCATCAGATTCTATCCCGTTAGAGTAACCATTGATGGAGACTGCAGAGACTATACTCAAAAACCGATCTCAGAACGTACTGCTAAGAAGAGTATCGAAAGAGTAGTGACATCGCTGAAAGAAGATATTAAGACCAAAGTTCATCAAACTGAGTTGACTTGTGTCACAAGAAAGATAGGTTTGAAGGATTATGTGACAAGTAACAGAGACGAAGGTAACGAAGATGAGGATGATGTTTGGAGCTACTCAAGTTCGGATCTGTTCGAGCTCGATAGTTACAGGATCGGTATGGGACGGTACTTAAAAGAGCTTCCGGTTTATGAAACTACTGATTTCAAGACTAATCAAGCTATTGCTAGAGGCTTGCTTTTGTAATCTCTTATCACTTTTTTTTTTTGTTATTTATCACTGAAATCAATTTACTAATTACAACAACAAAGAAATCAATTTAATACTTATTTATTTTGTTGCATCAATGTCACGTGCCCGGTTTTGAGATTACTAGCAGAGAAGGCCCGACTCATTAAATCTTTGGGTCCTCTACGCTATAAACTATTAATTAAACTTATAAGATGATATATATCGTTGGTCAATTTATGGATATGCACCGAAAAACCCATTATATTTTTTTTTTAATTGCATGCAAACCAGATTAACCTATTTAAATCAACCAATTAACCCAACTCTAATTAGTTAAACCAGATCAATCAACAATTACCCAGCAGAAGACTTAACCAAAATCCAACAAAAACAATTCCATTAACCAAACAATTCAATAATATTATTCTGGGTGTCGATCGACACCGGGGTATGACACTCCATTCGTGAGTCGCAGCTATTCTCGCGAGACAAAACGTTGGTGTCAACCGACACCCACTACTGGTGTCGATCGACACCGACTCTCTGCAGACGCTCCAGCTGCGTTTCTCATTGGATCTCCTCTCTAAATCACCTACATGATATGAGCGAGTCTCCAAAGGGTTTCACAGGGATTATTCATCACATAAACAGCCAAACAAGCAAAGAAATCAATCAAACAATCATCAAAACACCCAAAACAATGATCAAACATGCTTAGATAAGTCTTGGTTATGCACTCACCTTTTACAAGATTGAACAGCAACGAAAACAGGGAAGAACAAGAAAGATCTGCCTCTCCTACACAACACAGATCTAGCCTCTACTAGCCTTAAACCACCAATAACAAGCTTTGATCTCTCCAAAAACTCACTCAAAAGCACCAAAAGAAACACACTCACTCTCTGTTTTCTCTCAACCTTCACAAAGCGACCAAAGACTCTCAAATGAGAAAAACGACGCAACTTTAAGCCATTAAGTCGCCCTAGGTTTGCCCCAAACCAAACCCAATTGAACCGACGATTTAAAACTTAAACCATCGAATCCAAAAATTACTAGTGTCGATCGACACCCATCCTTGGTGTCGATCGACCCCACTCGGATTTCTAGACACGGGCGTTACAATTCTCCCCCACTAACATGAATTCGTACTCGAATCCTTCAACACCGTCCGTCAGCCCACCACTGACCTCTCCGAGGCACTAATCTAATCTAATATACTCATGTTTCAGACCCTATTTGCTCATACACACCCACCTCCCCCGTCCATAGGTCGCAAATCATGAATCATACCGGCTCGTCCTTAGGCCTTAGCCTTAGACTACGGTATCCAAGAAGTCTCACCACTCCCCCCCCCCCCGCTCTCAGGTTGCAACCTTCAAGTCATACCGACTCACTATCAGACCACCAGCCTTCAAGCTACGGTATCCTGGAAGTCTCATGCTCGCTCTCATGTCGTCACCCTTAAGCGTGCTCTTGAATCGTCATCCGAGGCCATCACATCATATCCGAGCAAATAAGTCTAAACGCCCCCGAGCATATCTCTCGATCACATATACCTCATGTGGTTCCCTTATAGCATCACAATGCTATACTAACCACAATCTCAAAACTTTCCAAAAATAGAACCGTCAAACCCGACACTTTCTATTTTTAGAAACTCGCACATATTTCTCTTACACATGACACAACAAGTCAAATCCAAGAAATACTCATCTTATTAATCTCAAATGTCATAATCATTACATCGGAATGAAAATACAACCGAGATACAACCAATAACAAACTCAAAACAAAACAAGCCAACGGTCTACTCCTCGACCTGCTTGTCAAACCACTTCCGGAACCTTGCCTTCATCCTTGCCACTAGCTCCCAAGTCTCCTCCAAGACTCCATCACAGTCCCACTGGACTCTTATTAAAGGAATCTTCTTACGCCGAAGTTCCTTTACCCGCTTCTCGAGAACCCTCACCGGTCTCGCCTCTAAAGTCATGATGGGCTGAAGATCCGCCGGAATCTTAGCCAACACCTCATCATCCTTATGAATACACTTCTTCAACATCGACACATGGAACACCTTATGAAATGCATGCATAACCTCATGTAACTCCAACCGATAATCCACCGGTCCAACCCGCTCCACAATCCTGAAAGGACCTATAAACCTCGGACTTAGCTTAGTCTCGGAAAGGGACCTATTAGAACCACGCAACATTGCCATCTTGAGATACACCATATCTCCAACCTCAAACACCAACTCCTTGCGCTTCTTATCAGCATAACACTTATGCCGATCCTGCACCTCCTACATGTTCAGCTTCAGAACCCGAATCTTCTCTGAAGTCTCATGAACAAAATTTGCACCATAAATGCTCCTCTCCCCTACTTGAATCCAGCATAGAGGTGTCCGACATGACCTTCCATACATAGCCTCATAAGGATCCATCCCAATACTCGCGTGGTAGCTATTATTATAGGCAAACTCCACCAAGCTCAAGTGATCTGCCCAGTGACCATCCCAATCCAACACACACATCCTCAACAGATCCTCAAGTGTCTGAATGGTCCGCTCAGACTGCCCGTCTGTCTGAGGATGGTAAACCGTACTCATATGCGTCTTAGTGCCCATCTCCTTCTGGAAAGCCCTCAAAAACGCAGAAGTGAACTTCGAATCTTGGTATGACACAATACAGGCCGGAACTCCATGAAGTTTCACAATCTCCTACACATATTTCTTAGCTAAAACTGCCCCTCCATCAGTCTTCTTGATAGCCAAGAAATGTGCAGACTTGGTCAAACGTTCCACAATAACCCAAATGGCATTCTTAAACCGAGACATTGGCAAACCTACCACAAAATCCATCGTGATCATATCCCACTTCCACTCTGGAATGGGAAGAGTCCACATTAGTCCACTTGGCACCTAATGTTCAGCCTTCACTAGCTGATACAAGACTCGGTGGTGAGCTTGTATTAGGATAGATATGAAGGCTTCACAAGATGGCGGTCGCTTCTCTCTTGTGAAGGAATGATGGTCGTTGATGTAGATCTGACACGATGGCGGTCGCTTCTCTCGTGTGGGATCGAATGAAGGGGAAGTGCTGGCGGATTGAAGTACACCACAGAGATGTGATTGGTCTCTGATACAGTACACGATCTTAGCCTTGTGGAATCACACACACAAGACGAAGAACAAGCTTATTCTCTTAAGGACACTTAAAGAGAAGAAGTGAAGAAAGTTTGGTTCTTTATTGATAATCAAGGGTGAAAAAACTCGTACAACTGTTGCAGAGGGACTTTATAAGAGTCCTTCAGCTAGCCCTAAGGCCGAAATAAATGTAAAAATGCAACAAAGGAAACAAATAAAACTACAAATACAAAGCCATTGTTTTTGGAAAGAAAATAAGTAAAATACTAAAGCAAACTTGAAACCTTGTGATAAGCACGTCTCCTAGCCGTTGTTGGGGATTAATGGACCTGCAATTATCGAAAATATTGAATAGAACTTACCTGGATGCGATCTAGGCCCACTCGATGTTCTCTGAACTACGTCTCGATCTACTTCAGGGGTCTTGTCAGGTGCCTGTTTGTTTGTTGGTTTCTTGAAGTAGATGGCTTCTTGGAGTTTCTCTTGGGTAGCTTGATCAGTCTCTTGAAGCTTTTCCAAGTCCTTGATGTCTTGTTCTTGATCTTCACTCTCTCGATCACTCTCGAAGGTGAAGCTTGTTTTGCTCGTCTCTTGTGACTCCATTGTCTTTTCTTGGATTCTAGAGGTTTCTTGACATGTCAAAGGAGAATTCATACCTGGAGAAATGGTATTTTCAAGACTCATTTGGGTGAATGCTTCAGCAAGCTCTTCCTCGGCGATGGGATCATATCCGTCGTGATGGAGTAAAGGTGGTACAAACCAGTTGACGTAGTTCAGCTCTAGTGAGCTCACAATGTCTTGTACAGCTAGGTTGAACCTCTTTCTAAGTTGTTTAGACTTTGAACGAGTCATGGGACCTACTGGGACGACTGGTACAGGGTGTGGTACATGATCTGGTACTTGATCTAGTTCAGCGGGTTGGACAGGATAATCGATATCCGCATCACTAGCTGACACACATCAGACTCAGATACCCATTTACCCACATCCTTCTTCATCCTAACCCAATGATAGTACCTCTTCAGATCTCTGTACATCTTGCTCGCTGTTGGATGAATAGAGAACCTGCTCGCAGGAGCCTCGCTCAAGATATCCCGTCTCAAATCTTCATCCTTGGGCACACAAACCCGCCCATGCATAAGGATAGTATCATTGGCTGCCACCTAATACTCAGACTCAGTATTCTTAGAAGCATTAACAAGCTCTGCATCCTTCTCTTGAGCCGCTCGAACTCTGGTCAGAAGATCTGCTCGGTTAGCTGCTTCTAACCCTAGTGGCTTTTGAGAAATAGCACACAACCGCAAAGTGCTAAGTTCTCCCACCAAGGTCTCCATATCCTACCCTCGAGCTAAAGCTGCCCGCTTCCTGCTCAGAGCATTTCCAACCAGATTAGCCTTTCCGGGATGGTAGGCTATCTCCAGATTATAGTATGCAATCAACTCCATCCAACGCTTCTGCCTCAAGTTCAACTCAGGCTGCGTGAATATGTACTTCAGACTCTTGTGATCTGTAAACACTTGAACCTTCGCCCCATATAGATAATATCTCCGGATCTGAAGAGCGAAGACTACCGCTGCCATCTCTAAATCATGAGTAGGATAGCTGCCCTCATGCTTCCGCAACTGCCGCGAACCATAAGCAATCACTTTACCAAGCTGCATTAACACACAACCCAAACCAACTCCCGAAGCATCTGTGTACACCACATACGGCTCCCCCTGCTCTAGTAAAGCCAATACCGTCAACATCTCTTTGAGCTTAGCAAAACCCTTCTCACACTCAGGAGTTCACACGAAAAGAACATCCTTCCCCGTCAGCTTGGTCATCGGCTGAGCTGTGCTGGCAAAGCCCTTCACAAACCGTCGGTAGTAACTTGCCAATCACAGAAAACTCCGAATCTCCGTGGCATTCTGC